GTCATAAAACAATCTGAGATATCTGGAATGTCAGGGCGGTAAAACCGAATTTATGTTAAAACGGCTTGCCATATGCCTGCAGTCGTGTCCTGATCCGCAGCAATGCGTGGCAGCGACTCATCAGACTGAAAAAAATAGTCCTGAAAGCGAGCTGTGAGCCTCTTCTCTGAATTATCTGGTGAATTAATTATGAATTAATTATCTGATGAGCGTGACACGCTCTGGCTCTCTGTAAATAAAACAAAGCCACTTCCTCGTCCGACATTAAACAGCCCCACAGAGGAGGGAGGGGCGGGGCGGCTGTCGCCGTGCAGCGCAGCTGTCTGCGTCTGACCTCAAAGTGCACAAGCTTCAAACTTCAGCGTTGGCTGCGATTTTGACGCTGAAATCGCGTTCGGTGTGAACGCACCATTATATCGGATTTTTTTTATGCAGACCGATAAAATCCGATACTCTTTTTTTGGCTGATATCGGATCGGGACACCCCTAGTTGCTCTACTTGTTCTGCTTTGAAAACACACACACACACACACACACACACACACACACACACACACACACACACACAAACAAAAAAAAGGGCTGTTGACGTTGCCTGTAGTTTATATTGTTCATATTTTTAAACTTTTGTTTTTTGCTCTGACAATAAGTTTGGTGATATTATCATAACGTTTTAAACAAATATTTGCTTTTATGTTTTCTGTATTTTGACAGAAAAAACTGGAGCAGCTTCTTGTGAAGTATCCACCCGAGGAAATCGAGTCCAAAAGATGGCAGAAAATTGCAGACGAGCTCGGCAATCGAACGGCCAAGCAGGTGACGTCATTTTAAAAAAGACACGCTTCAGAGTCTTATTAGTAGATCTTTTTATGTTTTATTTGACATTTGATTAATAAAACAAGTTTTAGTGTGAAAAGGTTGACTGACTTGTGTAATAACACTGACCCCCCGCTGCTGTTATTAGATGATACAAGTCTGTGACCTCAATTAGTTCAAGCAGCTGTTTCTTGGAAATGATTAATGACAGCATTTTCCTTTAAAATCATTCCAGGTTGCCAGCAGAGTTCAAAAATACTTCATCAAACTGACAAAAGCTGGTATTCCTGTGCCTGGAAGGACACCCAACCTCTACATGTACACTAAAAAGGTAACTTTACCGGAGATATAATCCTAAAGAAGGTTTCATGTTTCTGAGCAGCACCAACAACTAAATATTTAAGTTTTTCTACTTTACCTGCAGGCTAGATGGGAAATCCTGATCTGATTGAAGGTTTTCTCTTTTAAATGATGTCATGAAACACTCATTAGAGCAGGATCAAAACAGGGTTCAGACAGATTAGTTACACAAATCAAATCTTATCTCATGAATCGCTCATCATATCAGGATGATCCAAGTATCTAAATGTAGCTTTAAAAGGCCAGGAATCTGAAAAAGTTTGTTTTATTTTGACCAAATCTGACTTTATCCCAGATTTTCCTGGCTTACTGTTTCACATCGACTGTTTGTGTTGTGTTACTGCCTCGGCTTCTTAAAGACGCCTGTCTTGTGTTTGTATTTGAAGAAGCTGATTTATTTTGTGGGGAATCTTTTCTGCCTCTCATTGACCTGATGAACTGCATCACTTGATTTGGTTTCACTGAAGACAAACTGAGAGCTGGTGTCAGTTTGTGAAACAAACTGTTCAACATGAAAACTACTACTTAATTTAAATTGGGTGTCCAACGTGTGGCCCGGGTGCCATTTGTGGCCCCTGAACTGATTTTTTTGTGGCTCCTGAAGAATTATACTACGGYAATTTGTTTATAAATTTGTCCCCCCAAATGTGTAGATGGAGACTTTCTGTTTTTAATTAGGGCAAAATCTTCTCCCAATGACAAATATTGGCAACAATGCCAATTATTTGTCTTTAAATAACCAGGCTCTGTCTAGTGACTTCTACTCAAACGATGATTTTGCTGCCCTCCAATTCGCTTTTAATTAATTTATTAAATTTGTCTGAAAACAGCAAGCATTTTCAACAGAAGAGCAACCCAAATCCTGATTTTATTGATCAGAATTGACTAAACTGGGTTCTTTATTCCCCAATTGAAACCTAAAAAACTGCAAAATTTCTTTCAATAAGGGAAACACTTCCATTTCCAGCAATAAATCTGACTACTTTATTTGTGTAATTAAAGTATTCAAAGCCTGGTTTATTGTTGAGCAGGTAAAGGCCCTCGAGTCCTTCTGACTGTATGATTTTGGCCCATGTGACAAAATGTTTGGACCCCCCTGATTTAAATCATAAAGTCAAACCTTAGATAAATGTTGAAAATTAGTTAATTTATTAGGATCCACGTTAGTCTTCCTCAGCTGACACTACTCTTCCTGGGTTCAGCATAAACATATTAAAACAAATCAAGACAAAAACAGTTTGAAATGAGTAATAAGTGCAGCTGTAGTGGTTAGAAAACCTTTGACCTTCAAACCTACTTCTCATTGTTGCAGCTGTAAACTTTACTTCTGCCAGTAAAATAATTAATTTCTCTTTTTAATACATCAGCTCTCAGATACGAGGCGTAAAGTTCCTGTTTTTAATTAGACAGAAACTCTTGTCAGACTTTTGTTGGAAAAAAAAAGTTCTAATTAGTTCGACGTTGAGTTCATTTCAATAAAGCAAGCTCTTATCGAGGAAACAGTTCACCTTTGAATAAAAGTGCATTTACAGTATTTGTGAATATTACCTCAGTAATGTTAATTTAAAAAGTACTTTCATGTCCTCCAGGCCTCCAGTAAGAAGCAGCACCACCTCAACAGGCACCTGTACCGCCCCTCCACCTTCCTGACGTCGTACGAGCCGCCCGTCTTCATGGACGAGGACGACGAGCGCTCGGCGTATTACGGCGGCGTTCAGGACCCTTCTGCTGACGACTCGGTAAACCTCCTTTATTTTACTGTTTGTGTCAGGATCGTACGTTTAATTTAGCTAATCACGCACCGATGTTGGCTCTTAGAATAACTGAAAGCTTTTAGAAAAATCAGAGCGGGCGGGAGGAGGGGGGGTTCTGACGGGTCGGGCTTCTCTTTCCATTTGAAGCGAGCGGCTCCTGATGTTTGGTTTTATCAAAGCTCTGACATTTCTTTCTCCCTCCGTTTGATGGCAGTAACCTTTAAGTGAAACTGTTTTCCAGTGCCGTGCTGGGAACACAGATGTTGTTTTTTTCTCCGTCATGTTAATGAAATCGTCTTGCATCACCGGTACAGAGGAGAGGGCACTGCCAGCCGGTGCTGTAATAATGTCTTATCTCACCAGGTTGTTATTTATTTGGCTCTTTAGTCTGAATGGCTGAAACGATGCCAAAAGCAGAACTTAAACAATCCTAGTTCTGTGATTAATTATTTTATCAGTGTTTTCAGATGCACTTTCACCGTTTTTCTTTCCCTCTCTGCATCCTTAAGGAGGATTAAGAGATTTCTTTGTATCTTTGGCTGTAATCTGTGCTGCTTAAACAGAAAAAAAAATCAATGTACTGCTGTTTAGGTTGCTGCAATCCTGGGTGCAGAGTTGACTTAAAACAAACACCTATTGATGCTGCATGAAACCCATCAGTCACATGCTTTGACTTTATGTCTGTCTGTTTGTTTGTGTTTGTTTTCCTGCAAACTCAGGATGAGGAGAGCGTGCCTGTGGAGTTGAGAAGCCTACCGGAGTACAAAGAGCTTTTAGAGCTGAAGCGCTTGAAAAAACAAAAACTGCAGGAGATCCAGGAGGAGAAGTCTGGGGTGCAGCACGTAGGATTCAAGGTGAAACATTTGATAAAGTCGAACAACAACATATATTTAACATGATTAGTTTGTAACTTTAGACCTTATTTGATAAACATTTACTAAAACTATAAAAACAGGGCTCTAAAAATACTGTAGGCTGTTTACTTAGTAGAAATTTAAAAAATAAGTGGTGATGTTGCCGTTCATGTATGCCTCAATGCATTCTGGGCAAATTATAACACTTAGCAGTGCATCGGTGCAGCTGGAGTGTGTTGACAGAGAGGAGAATGTAGAAATGACTTAACATGCAACAGAAAATGATGGAGGACAGCTGAGCTGCCTAATGGAACAATCACCTCAGCTTTAGCTTTTTAGCTTTCACATTAGCTCACTTGCTAATAAATTAAATAAATATATGGCATTCTCTCCAGAGCTATTAAATATAGCAATAACTCTCAAGGTATTATATATAACATTAGCTCCACAGCTCATATATCTATGGCGTTAGCTCCAGAGCTAATAGATGTAGTGTTTGCGCTCAAGCTAATACATAAAGCATTAGCTCCAGAGCTAATAAATGTAATGTTTACGCTCAAGCTAATATATATAACTTTAGCTCCAGAGCCAATAAATATAGTGTTAGCTCCAGAGCTCAACACCATGTTGATCACAGTTTATTGTTTCAACCCATTTTTTGTGAGGAAAATGGAAATCATACAAAATATTGTAGTACATTTTAACTTTTTAGCCCTGAGTTTGATATTGCATGTTATTAGCTCTAAAACTAATAAATTTATTAGGTTCAAAGCTAATACATAAATGCTATTAGATTTTGATATATGTATATGGCCCTAGAGCTAACATACTAAATAGCACATTTGATTGTTTCACCCCATATATTGTGCAGAACATTGAAACTAATACAAAATATAATTTTAGTGTCATATATTATAACTTTTTATTCCTGACTCTTGATGTTGTAGTCTCAGCTGTAACCCGTCATCATCCCCAAAATACATTTAAAAAAAAACAACAAAACAAAAACCTAGAAGTTGCAGATTGCAGTTCTGAATTATAAAATTGCTTATAAATAAAAATATAAGTAGGATGAAATAGATGAAGCATACAAATGTAATAAAGTGTTTCACATATTTTAAAGAGTTTGTTCTTTTTCATGACAAAAACACAAAGTGGGCAGCTGACTAAGATGATGCACAGGATAAAACATTTATTTTTAGAGGCTGGAGGTTCTTCTGCCAACAGTTTCGTATTTATTTCCCACCGTCAGGCCTGTTTTCTGTTTGACTTGTTTGTGTTTTGTTTCGTGCAGTGTGACGTCTGCGGCATGGAGCCCATCCAGGGGGTGAGATGGCACTGTCAGGACTGTCYGCCAGAAAACGCTGTTGATTTCTGCTCCAACTGCTCAGACTGGTGCGGTCCTCCTCCATCACTTAACGTCTTCATAGTCAAAAGAAAAAACAGCTGAATTTCTGCTTTATTAGACATGAAACATGATGCATTGTTTCATATGAAGCACTTAGAGCTGTAGGAAGAGCTTCTCAGAGCTGCTTGAAGCTGTTAACGGTTAACAGGATGGCAGGTGTTCGTCACAGAGAGGTCATTCCCCCTAAATTAAAACAGATCAGGTTCTGATGAGATGAGTCACGCTTCAATAACTTTTCACTCACAAAAGCATTTCTTTAAAAGCACGAGTGCCTTGTATCAGACAAAAACAGAAAGTTTTTAGACTGTGTTCCTCTGACTTTGTTTACTGTGACATGACTGGAACCTCTCAGCTTTATGATTGGACCAATAGGACGGCTGCGTTGTCAGGTCTGCAGAGCGATGATGATGATTATTTTCTGTCTCACTCTTGCAGTCTGTTCAAGACGGAGACCCACAAACTGAACCACCACCTGGAGCCGGTGTATCAGCCAGAAACCTTCGTGGACAGGGACTACTGCCTGCCGCAGAGCACGGGCTACAACTACCTGGACCCTAATTACTTCCCGGCCAACAGATGACAGGGTCCCAGGCGCCCCTAGCTCCAAGCTCTCTCTCTCTCTCTCTCCTCGTATCCCACAGGCCACTCTGTATGGCTCCATCCTCCAAGTCCAAGATAACCAGGCGGGGAGGCCAGCTGGCACGTAGACCACACGTCAGGCAGCGTTTGTGGGGGAGGCAGACCTCAGAGCTGCTGCCGGTGTGGAGCTGATGTGACTCGACCCCCCCAAACAAAACCAAACGAGTTCCCTGAAACACCTCAGCCAGGTTAATAACAGTGATTTGAAAAGATTCACTATTTAAACAACAAACGAACAGAAGGTTCATGACATTCCTGAGCCCAGGAGAGCCGTCTGTTTCCCAGCTGCCCCCCACATTCTCCTTCACGCGCCCCCCCCCCCCTCGTGCTGCTTCTAAACTGGAGACATGTTGGACTGTCAGCTCATCAGCTGCACTTAGGTGGATTTATGTGTGTATGTTTTATGCAAGAGTGAAAAAAGTATTTTAGATTTGAGTATTTATGAGTCACTGTCAGAACCGTGGAGCAGACTATGAAGTTCCTGTTGGTTTGTACGATGCTCGTCAGCAGTTTCAACATGAAGTCATCCCTAACACTGTCACACAAAGCTGCTCCCCACTCATCGTCACCAACCCCGGACACACACACACACACACACACACACAGATACACATCCGTTTCCTTCGCTCTCTTCACTAAAACACGTCTAACGAGAAAAGCACTACAACACAGAGAGCTGATTTTTCTTTTTGAGAACGTGGGGAGAAAAACACACACGGAGCTGTGTTTTGTTTTGTTTTTCCTCCCAGTGTGTGCCGTCGTCGATCATGTTGGCTGTTCACGTATATTGTGGAAAAGTGACAAAGTAGCCACCGCTAGTCGCTGTGTGCCATTAAAATAAAAGCAAAGCAAAGAAAAAAAAGATTTTTACTTTTTGGCAGAAGGAGCGACCCCGAACCTCAACCACTTCTCCTCCTCCTCCTCCTCCTCCTCCATCATCCCACTCTGTCTTTATTAACCCCATCATCCCCCCAATCCGGATCCGTCATTTTGCAAACCACTTTAAAAGTCCGTTTAAAAGATTGTATTTTTATTAATCTATTTAAAAACAAATAATGAGGTAGTGGTTGTTGCCTCGGCAGTGGAACGACCCACACAGTTTTATATACATAGGTTTTTGTTGTGCTTGAGTAGACACCATTTTGTATGGTTTTTGTCTCCTTCCCTCACCCCCCTCCCCCAGCTTCAGTATCTGTGTATTCCAGTCTGTTCTTATGTAAAAATTATTAATAATGTAAAAAAAAATAATGCTAGAGGAGAACCGTGGAAATAAAGGTATGTGAAAAATGTTTTTACATCGGTGCTTCTTTTATTTTATTTTCCCAAGACTCCTTCATTATTTTAAAAGTGACTTTTTTTTATTTAAAAACAAATTATCTCTTTTGATCGGGAGCCCAAAAATTATGAAATGGAACTGTAAATATTCTTTTATTTCTTGTTTTCACTTTGCAGTAAGGGTGCCTTTATAAAAAGCAGCAAGAATATATAAACTGGCAGAAATAAGCTGCACAACCAGCAAAAAATAACAATTTCTCCAAGAAATATTTGACTTACTTCATGTCATAACTGCTGTATCAACATCAGGTTCTGATTATTTACAAACTAATGAATGTTTAAAGTGTTAATGAAACCTTTATATAGGTACCCTTAATGTGAAGCTTTTATTTTGAAGTGGTCTTAATCTACGATTTTCTGAAGGACTTTAGCTGCTTTTTTCTTCGTTTTAGTCCTTTTGTTTGACCATGTTGGCAAATTGTTCAGTCTGTGATTTAAAAAATAATAAATTAGAGAAATGGAGGACAAAAAAAAGCTTAATAAATCAAGTGGAGGAACTTCAACTGTAGGTCACGTTTATCTAAAATGGAAATCTCTAAAAGCAAAATTTTAAGTCAAATTTTATTTTCTTCTCAGGTTCTACAAAACAAATGAGAACAAATAAAGATGAGTTTTAAAATAGTTTGCCAAGCTGTCTGTTTGGACAGATTAGGAGACTTTTTAATTAATTAAATTGTTCATAAGTTGTAGTTTAGTTGGTTTTAGTTGAACTAAATCAAAACATTTGTCTAATTCTAGTATTCTTTAAAGGAATGCACCGAACAAAAAGTTGTAAACATACAAATCAGTGATTTAACCTAAAAGTCTCATTTACAGAGTCTTAGACAGACAGTGTTGAATCCATATGGTTGTAAAAATACTTTAAGCAAAGATCAGAAAAGGAGCAGCTGTAAAACACTCATTACAAATAAATTTATTTGTTGCTGCCGTCTTCTGACCAGCAGATGGCGCCACTGCCTCAACCATCAAACTGCAACACATTAAAAACAAACCTCAGAACTCCTCTGGTAAACAAACATAGTGGATTTATTGAATGTTAAATACCAACAAGAACCCGTACAATGAGCCTGTAAACATATAAATGTAGTAGTTCCTAATAACTTACCAAAGCTTTATTATTACTGTTATTATGATTTTTTATCAAACGCACAAAAGGCAGTTTTCAAGCTGAGCTGTTAGTTTTGCATGCTTGTTACAATATAAAGAGTGAACACATACTGACATTTCCACTTTTTTTTTTTAGCATGGCGGGAAAAAGAACCTTCCTGCGCTCCCCTGGTGGAACATTCAGCATGCTCCCCGTCACAGTGGAGACGTTCTCTGTACAGTTCTGGCCCACGGGCCGGCAGTTGGTACTGATGTTGATGTGAGGTGGGTGGAGTGAAACGTATCGGTGGGGTTAATTGCAGGTGAGACATGCAAACCACTGGAGTTCAATAAGCCGGTGCCGGTTATGTGGGGGAGGAAGAGGAGCAATGATTCTTCAGAGGGGCGAAGCTTCAGAGTTTGGGTGATAGTGGAAATCAGAAGGTGGAACAGGACTCTATGGCTTGGCAGATCTGGGCGAACGCTTCGTTTGGTGACCTTTCAGCATCAATCTGCAGAGAGAGTAAAATAAAAAAACATTTTCAGGGCAGAGTCACCTGAACGATGACCTCAGTACCTGTGATGGCATTTAAACACACAAACTGATGTGGCATTTCAGCGTTCAAACAGCATTTTTTTTAACAGGACTGCTCATCTCCAACTAGAAACTGATTATTCTTTTATTTGCCTTCTTGTTGATGGAAACAGTGAGGTGTGTAAATTATTTAAACTATTTGCCTTTATCCCCTAAACTCATTCGTCCTGAAAATTTTTTATTTTATTTTTTACTTGAAGGTTCATTTGAAGCTTCCGCTGCAAAGATTGTCCATCTAATCACGTTTTATAATCTTATATCAGCCAAAAAAGAAATTTAATCCTGTTTTAAGACTGATGTACTAAACAAGAGCAGACCGTGTTAGATTATTAATCTTAGGCTGGAAAAAGTCTTACCAAGTTAAATTGTCTTATTCCCCTGGCAGTTTATTTCACTTAATTTGAGAAGATTCAGACTATAATCTAGTAATATATA